CTGCTACTGCTACTGCTGCTACTGCCGCTGCTCCTGTTCCTGCTCCTGCTCCTGCTCCTGCTCCTGCTCCTGCTCCTGCTCCTGCTCCTGCTCCTGCTCCTGCTCCTGCTCCTGCTCCTACTGCTGCTCCTGCTCCTGCTGCTGTGCAGCTGCCGCTGCTCCGGCTCCTGCTGCTGCTCCTGCTGCTGCCAGTGCTACTGCTGTTCACTTCAAGGGGGTCCAGTTTGGAAGCGCAAAGTTGGAACACTCCGCAGATGTGAAAAAGTTGACCTGCAGGTGAAGAACATCAAGGCCGAGCTTGCTTTGGGGCCTAGGGCTGTATGGTTGGGGCGGTTTAGGGTTTAGGGGTTTAATGGTATTACGGTATAGGCTAGGTGGAGAGCTCCACTATGTAGGCAGTCTTCCCCAGAGCCCGGACGTCGTCAGTCCTCAACTACTTGTAGCTAATTCGTTGGCGGATTCATCACATTCTGAAGCGCGTGGGCAGACATTCATTACAATCTGCAGCGGCATTCAGCGGATGCTTGTCGTGGGCTGCTATCGCGTGCCAGGTGCTCAGGTGCCGTTTGTATGAAATTCCTCCGAAATACCTGCCCTGCGCCATGAGTCGCACCTCCGCTCTCCCTGTTGATGTTGTGGTCCCAGCGCAGCTCGGAGCTTCATGCCCCAAAGCTGGGCAGGCGGAGATGGCTCAAATCACAACAGCCTTGAAGTCGGCAGGTACCAAGGCTGGCCGGGATGTTGTTTTTTTGATAGGTTTTTCTGTGTGGTTCGCTGTTTGCCTTGGGTTTGAAAGGTACGGACCATAATATGGGGTTTGCGTGTGTGTGTGTGTGTGTGTGTGTGTTTGTGTTTGTACACTGGTATACTACCCTTTCCACACACAGATATGTACAGACGTGCATGTGTGTATCATATTATATATATATAGATAGATGTGTGTATGTATATATATATATATATAAATATATAAATAAATAAATATATATATATATATACATACATATATATATATATATATATCCATATCTACGGACAGACACTCCCTCTCGCCTCTCGCGCTCTCTCTTTCTCTCTTTCTCTATGTAAAAAAACATATCTATCTATCTATCTATATATATATATATGTATAAATAGATATGTGTGTATGTATGTATGTATGTATGTATGTATGTATGTATGTATGTATGTATGTATGTATGTATGTATGTATGTAGGGTAGGGTAGGGTAGGGTAGGGTAGGGTAGGGTAGGGTAGGGTAGGGTAGGTCAGGTAGGTAGGTAGGCAAGCAGGCAGGTAGGTAGGTATGTAGGCAGGTAGATAGGTAGGTAGGCAGGTAGGTAGGTGGATGCAGGCCTTGGTAGGTTGTTCTGCTGTCGCTGGAAGACGGCTGTAGAGTTGCCGCAAGCTGTATACAAGCAGCCGCATTTCTTCTTGTTGTCAATGCCGGTGTCATTCTTACGGCTTTATGGCGCCAGGATGCCAAGCTCCGGTCGTCGGGCGTCGTGGTCGTGGCTTGGGCAGCCTGCATTTTGCGCTTCCTTGTCGTTAGGACGGTGGGCACAATCCAAACCCCAAACCCCCCAAAACCCTAAAACCCCGGAGCCCTAAACTCTATGGAGATCTGCAGGGCATTTGAGCAGCCAAGGTGGTTTTCCGCCACCAGAGCGACATGCGAGCTTGCTTGAGGAAGCCGGGCAGGCATGTTGTTGAAGGCATCAAATCTGGGGTGCCAGACATTCAATGTTGCATCTTCGCTCCGCAGACGCCCAGTTCCTCCGAAATCCGGTGAAGGGTCCATCGACTCCGCAGGGTTCCCTGTGAGTGGATCCTGAACGTGCCGTCCTCCCGAAGAGCTGGCAGAAGTGTTTGCGTGCGGGCTTGTGGACAGCACTTCTGCGGCCACTGCGGCCTAGTGGAGTGTCTGCGCAAGACTTATGACCAGCATCTGCATTCGCCTTCAGTTCGCTATTTGTTTATGACATGTTCTGCAGACACGAGCCAGCTGAAGCCCCGATGTCGAAGCCGATTGCTTTCGGCATTGGCTTGGTTTAGTTCGAGAGCCATGCAGCAAACACGTGTGCACACACACACAACATCGCATACAGAGCTAGAGACCCGAAAAGCATGATGCCGGCAGAAGAAACTGTTTGCCGTCCCGTTTTTCCTGGGATTTTCAAATCTGCGGTTTAAGCTGGCTTGATCTTTTTGGAGGGGAAGCTGCGGAATTTGCTGAGGTAGGTTTTCTATGATCATGTATCTGTTTCACTGTGTTACGAATGTATAGCTAGATTCTACATCGTCTACTTGTATGTTATGGTGCCTTATCAGGAGCATGTCGTACGATGCCTTTTATCACTATGAGGATTCATAGAAGTACGCACATACAGCATACGAGCAGTATGTACTAGTTCCGGTTTTGTGTCGTCAAAAAGCCATGATTGTTGGGAAATGTTGGGCACATCACGGGTGCTGAAAGAAGAAGCTACTCGAGAATGAGCTGTGTACCCCAACACCAACGCGAGCGCGTGTAGATGCTGTTCCTGTCTTCATTACTCATTACTCCTACCACCGGGCCAGCTACCTCGAAGAGTTACGATTAATAGCAGTTGTACTCACCCCAAAGACCCTAGACCCTGCACCCAGAGCGTCAAGCCCTAAGCCCGAAGCAGCAGATGGCAGGTGGACGTCTGTTTGGGCCCGGTGGTTCAGCTGTGAGGCCGAAGACGTGGGATTCTTGTGGAGGACTGGCCTCGGAGCTTTCTCCTTGTGCTGTTTAGGGTTTAGGGTTTAGGGTTTAGGGTTTAGGGTTTAGGGTTTAGGGTTATTTGGAGGATCAAGGGGCTTTGTGAGTGGGGTTATAAGTAAAGTAAAGTAGCTATAGTTGTATCTACGCATAGCCCACAGCCTCACTTAAGGTACCTCTAAACCTACTAAGCCCTCTGATCCTCTAAGTAGCAGTTGGTTTTCGTAAGACTTGGCTATGGTGGTTCTAGTCATCAAAAGATTAGCCCTAAACCCTGAACCCTAAACCGATGAATGTCCCACGTTGCGGGGCTTCAGAATCTGCTTGAGGGCCAGCTCGAGCTGAAGATGCTCGGGACCAAAAGAATCTGTAGACAGGGTTTAGGGCTTCGGGTTTAGGGGTTTAGAGGTTTAGGGGGTTTAGGGTTTAGGGGTTTAGGGTTTGGGGGTGGCATGTTGAACTGAGAATCGGGGCTTGCGCCTGGTAGCCGTGCAGTGCCTCTGTCTGCAGGAATAACGCCCTCTGCAAGGCCCGCGCTGCACTGGTTAGCTTCGGGTTGCGCTTTGAATGAGTGCAATGTGGGAGTCATGTGCTCGGCTCGCTCGGAACAGGAGGGAAGGGCCCTTAAAGGGGAAAGCCCCGAACCCAGTGGCGCCGAAACCCCACTGATAAAGCCCAACAACAGAAAGCCCTGCATCAAAAGATGGTCCAGGGAGCGGCGCTGCCCAAGTTCCCAATCGGCGGTCGGCCGCAACTTCGCAGCAGCTGGTGGGTTGGGGGTTTAGGGGTTTTAGGAGAATTTGTGGAGGGTTCAAGGGGTTTGGCAGGGTTTAGGACCACGAGTGCTTCAGAGGGTTTTAGCAGGCTTTCAGGGGTATGGGAGTGTAAGGGTTTTAGGGTTTAAGGCGTTCGGAGTTTGGGTCAAGGTTTTGGGGTCCGGGGGTTCAAGTTGTTCTGCTGCAGAGTTCTCGATGTTTTGGCGAGAAGCAGTAATGCTGCAAGAAGCAGCAGCAGCAACGGCATCAATTGAAGAAGCACGGGAAGCCATCATCAGGAAGATCAGGTACAAGTAGGGGTACAATCATAATTCCATTAGCAGCAGTTGCAGCACTGGCAGCAATGGCAGCAACGGCAGCAGTGGACGAGACTAGCACCAGCAGTATCAACAAGCGGTGATCAAGCTTGACGGTGTGAAGCAAGAGCAAAGTATTGTTAGCTGCCGTGCGGCGAACTCGAAATCAGTAACGCGGTTGACGATGGATGACTCATGGAGTGTATGCGGTTTGGGTTTCTGTACCAGGATCGCCACGCTTTCTGTCGCTCCCTGGCAGCAATGGACACACATTGACACCTGCAGAAGTTCGCAGGAAACTTCTTGGTGTGCGCGATCTAGGGTGTAGGGAGTTAAGGGATATCCCGGCACGACGTATGCAGGAACACGGTTGGGAAGGGTGTACATAAGCACTCCGACAGCCTGCGCATGCCTGGCCCAACCAACAAAGTTCAAGTTTTCCGGCCCAATAACACAGAAGTGCGATTTACCCTGGTGATGAAAACATGGTAAGATAAAATGGTAGAGAAGTGGACACCAGAAAGAGCTTAGGGTTTAGGCGGTTCAGGTTTTAGATCCGGTGCACAGCCCCGCAGAGTCCGCAAACGCGCCGTTCGCTCGAGGCCCGCGCCGCAAACCCTGGCGACATCCACTGGACAGAACTAGCTGTTCCAGCAAATCTACGACGATGGAGGCTACCTGGCTTCAGTGTGGGCTGGTGCATCCCTACACCTTGACGAAATCCTAAACTCTGCATACCGAGACCTTCTATCAGACTTATCAAGCCCCCCTAAACCCAAAAGCCCTATAGCCTCCCCGGGCTCCTTTGGGACGTTTAGGGCTTCATCCCTGTCCCCTTGCATTTGTTTCTGGGAGTCCTGTAGCCCTGATGCTCAGAAGCACAGGCGAAGAGACCCATAAACCTTGCAAGCCCAGAACCTTTAAGCTCCAAAGCTGCCTAAGAAAATCCCAAAAGCCCCTACCATTGCTCCGATTTCGAGGATTTGCAGCCAAGAAATATCGAACCCATGGCGTCTGCCTCAAACTCGGCAACCTGAACCCTCCTAATCCGAAAGATTTAACGCCCAAAGCCTGAGCCCCACGCCCTACCTAAAACAACGAAGCCTAAACTTTCGATGCCTTAATGAGGCTTCTAACCACGAATGGGGTCATGTTCCTCCTGGTCGCTGCTTGCTTCGGGGCCGTTTACGGCCTGCGCCAGGCTCGGGAAGGGGAGTCTTGCGAGGGGCCCTCGGTGTGTGGGTTGAACTTAGGGTTTAAGGTTTGGGATTGTGATGGCTCCCACTGTCTGCCAGACTTCGATGTAGCATTCAGGGTACTTTAGGGTTTCGATATCTTGTTTGACGAGAGCTGCCCAGGCAAGCAGGCCCCTGCATGAAGCGCCCGTGGCATCCGGGACCACTTGTCGCCAAAGCTTCTCCGCACGCTCCAGTCCGCAACAAGTCTCCAACTCGTCCGAACCTGATTCCCCAGCCCTAGCCATAAACCCTTAAACTCAACCCCTCCCCCCCAACACACCAACCCCATGCCCATAAAGTCCTCGGATGTCCTCGGCATCCTTTGGGATCCTGTGGTCAGGCCAGTGAAGCCGTAAAGGAAGCCGGCGGCTTCTTGGCCTCAGCGCTGGGAGCATATGAGTTTCTTAAGAAGAAAACCCAATCTGAAATAGGCATCGTCTTGGCATTCGTAGTCACAAGCATTCATAGCCAGAGTAGAAGTGTTTGTGACCGATGCACACAAAAACTCATTCTCACGATTATAATCATGTCTCCACTTCTAGCAGTAGTTCGTGCATGGCAGCAGTCAGTGACTGCAGTCATACTGACAGCTTGCTAAGGACTTTGGGGTTTGTGGCTTCGGATTCCGTATCCGAAGCCGCTACAGCAGCAACAAATAACGACAACAACAGCAGCTGCTGCTTCTACTACGACAACGACTACTGCTACCACTGCCACTACTACTGCTGCTACTACTACTGCTACTGCTGCTACTACTGCTACTACTACTACTACTACTACTACTACTACTATTACTACTATTACTACTATTGCTA